GCCAAGAAGAGCTTTACAAGCCGAGAGCTTGGCTTCAGGATTTAGGGTTCAGGGTTCAGGGTTCAGGGTTTAGGGTTTAGGGTTTAGGGTTTAGGAACTAGGGACGAGGGACTTAGGGTTTAGAGTCAGCTGTGAGGTTCGCAGACAGGTTTCTTGCGGTGTTGAAGTGGGGTTTGCGCTCGCTTTAGGGTTTAGGGTTTAGGGTTTAGGGTTTAGGGTTTAGGGTTTAGGGCTTCGGGCCGAGGCTCACGGACAGGTTTCTTTTGCTGTTTTGACGTAGTCTACTTCAAGGATTCTAGGGTTTAATTTGGGGGTTTAGGGTTTAGGGTTTAGGGGTTTGAGGGTTTAGGGTTTAGGGGCCCTACATCCTAAACTTCGATACTTTCTGGCCACACACACCCCTAAGACCCCAAACCCTGAAAGCCTGAACCCCACGCTAAACCTTAGAACCCTAAACCCCCTAGATCCCTAAATCCCCTAAACCCTTGAACCCCTGACCCCCACCTTCGACCTCCGAACCCCAAACCGCCCTACAGCCTCCGAACCCCAAACCGCCCTAATTCCCCCAAACCCCCTAAACCCCCAAACCCGCCAGCCCCCCTAGACCCCCTTAAACCCCCTAAACCCTTCTAAACCCTAAACCCCCCAAGCCCCCCCAAAAGCCCCAAACGCCCGAAACCCCCCTAAACCCCCCTAAACCCGCAAAACCCCCTAAACCCCCTAAACCCTAGACCCTAAACCCTAGACCCTAAACCCTAAACCCTAAACCCTAAACCCCAAACCCTAAACCCTAACGCTTGAAAAACAGCCAAAGCGCCGGAGAGGTCTGAGCCGGCGACTCGACCGCCAGCACAAGGTCTTGATGGCCAGGCCAGAGCTTCTTTACCTTAAATCCCTCTGTGTAGGGTTTAGGGTTTAGGGTTTAGGGTTTAGGGTTTAGGGTTTAGGGTTTAGGGTTTAGAGTTTAGGGTTTAGGGTTTAGGGTTTGCCGTGATAGGGCGTAGGTGCTGTGAAGGTTAGGTTTCGGAACAAGCTCGAAAGCTTCGTGAGGTGCGAAGAGCAGCTTTGGCCCGATTGTGGGGGGCCATCTAACACTTTTCTCCCACCCTACGCCGTCCGAGTCCGGCGGCAAAGCCACCCAAACCTATTCCTTTTAGGGTTTAGGCCTAAACTCAAGGCAACAGTCCACTTCTAAAAACTTGTTCAGTTTCATGACGTCCGGGGTTGGGTCCGAGAGTCAAAGGAATGGTAGGGGGGTCGGCCCTAAACCCTAAACCCTAAACCCTAAACCATAAACCCTAAACCCTAAACCCTAAGCCCTAAGCCCTAAGCCCTAAACCCTAAACCCTAAACCCTAAACCCTAAGGGGCTGGGAAGCAGCAACCCCAGGCTCCCATCTAAGTAAAGCTTCCGAGTCGCTCGCCCAAAGGTTTGACGAGTACCAGCGCCGCCTTCTCAGTTTAGGGTCTAGGGTCTAGGGTCTAGGGTTTAGGGTTCAGGGTTTAGGGTTTAGGGTTCAGGGTTCAGGGCTAGCTCCTAAACCCCTAAACACTACCCCCTAAACCCCAAGCCCTAGACCCCAAAGCCTACAGCCAGGAACGACCTGAACACACTTTGCAAACTTCATGTGTCGCACAGTTCTCAACAGACTGCGAGCAACTGTGGCTCTTTCTTCTTTGGGGTTCTTGTGCTCCTGCAGCCCCTGGAGTTTGGGGTACAAAAGGGCTCTAAGCTTGAGAGCTGGCTGCATGCGTGCTGGTCTTTTCCACGTTAGAGATTAGAGCTTCCCGGTCACGAGTTTCGGCTTCGAATTTGGGGCTGAGTGGCTAGGGCCCCTTGATCGTTGGCAGACTTTCGTGGTGCTTTTAGGGTTTAGGGTTTAGGGTTTCTGTGAGGCTCATGCTGGACAGGTGGA